ATCATCATCATCATCATCATCAGGTGCCTTGTCGAACGGCGTGGGCGATCATGCCTCGCCACAATCTCGAAACATACAAATAGAAGAAAAGAAAGATATTTAAAAAATAAAGAATTTCTATGCATACAACAACCATACAATTATTTTCATTGCTACTTCATAACTTTAATGACTATTTGTTTTGCGATGGTTTTGGCGACCCATGTGAAAGCGTCGTTCAACACACGCACACAAAAAGAGACGCGACCCATAGGTTGAGAACCGCTGTTTTAAGCAAAAGTTGCCAGAAACAAACCCGTACCTAAACCGACGGCAGGCAAAAGGAAACCACCGCCTGTGTTTAGCCTGAGTAAAACCTGCCTCGGAAGCCGCCGTAGTGTAGTGGCTCGACGCTCGCAAGACCGCAAACGACACGACCGAAAGTATAGCGTTCCGATGCGCTTCGAGGCAGATTTTTTCCAGATTGACTGTAGATCGATTCAACCTAAAACGAGTACCAGGCAATGTACCGGCAAGAAAATGCGGCCGGCTTGATGTTGACTATATCACCCACCGAAGATGGCTGGTGTATACAAATACAAATCTGGCATCATATGCCAGCTGCTCCAGTGGCATAAAATAGTCATTAACTTACTTAAATTGATACGATCACATTACCCCTCCCCCACACACACACAAACACACACACACACACACACACACACGGAACTACAGGTCCACCCACCCATCCATCCTTCTTTTTTTTGATTAAACGAAAACCGTCACGTTTAACCAGCACGGGGTTGATTTTGGGTATAATTGTGACTTAGATTAATTGCGCCATATTAAATATCTTAACATTGCTCGTCACCGAGTAGCCCGGAAAAGGACTCTTGAAGTTTTGATGCGATCAAAGGCGACAGACCCAAATACTGTCCCGACCGGCGACAGACCCAAATACTGTCCTGACCGGCGACAGACCCAAATACTGTCCTGACCGGCGACAGACCCAAATACTGTCATGGCGGGCGACAGACCCAAATACTGTCATGACTGGCGACAGACCCAAATACTGTCATGACCGGCGACAGACCCAAATACTGTCATGGCCAGCGACAGACCCAAATACTGTCATGACTGGCGACAGACCAAAATACTGTCCCGACCGGCGACAGACCCAAATACTGTCCTGACCGGCGACAGACCCAAATACTGTCATGGCCGGCGACAGACCCAAATACTGTCATGGCCGGCGACAGACCCAAATACTGTCCTGACCGGCGACAGACCCAAATACTGTCATGACCGGCGACGAGGTCGTCTACCGGAAAGCCAGAGAGCGACCCGCTCGCCGATGACTGCAGGTTACCTTGTAACCGTTGTGTGGTGCCCATATATAATTTAGCTATACGGTTAAATGGGGGTTCCACGATTTGTACCTGCTTGATTCTCATCCTTGATATATTAATCCTATAAGGTACAAACCTGGAGGGGGGAAACACGCAAAAAAAAAAAAAAAATTAATAAATAAAACAGACCTCATGCCCGAAATCGCCAAATTTATCATCAACCACCTAAAGCTAACCGGGAGTTGCCGTGGCGTAGCAGCTAGACCCTCGCGTGCGGATCGGAAGGTCGTGGGTTCGCTCCAAGGCGGAGCCGGACTTTTTTTTTCAAAAATGACCTTGACTCCCAGGTCGACAAAGCTTTGAGTGGGTACCAGGTGCAGTCCTGAGAAGTAAAGGCGGCCTTCGTGATGCTGACCACATCGCCCACTAAGTGCCGATTGGTCTATAAAAATATAGGTCTAGCCCTATATGCCCCATACGCCTAAAGACGTGGAAAAGGGACCTTTTCTTACCTAAAACTAACCATAAATACAGGGTTACATGGATGATTCACCCTGTTTCTCCCACACGGAAAGTATTTAATTGCTATTTTTTAAATACTGGGGTCACTCCCAGATCAGCGTGCCGTCATCAGAAGACAGAAAAGTTCGTTTGGCTTTAAACTGAAAAAATGTCTGCTCTTGCAGCGGCAGAGTATGCGTCGCGCAAACACAGCATGGAGGGCCAGTTAGCACTTGTCGTCTGTGTGCTTGTAACTAACGTCAGTGAAACTGAGGGGAAATAGATGTTCTGGTGGCTGCTGAGTTTAACGTCATCATGGTCTCTTCATCGTCATCACCACCACGATCATCATCGTCATCACCATGAGCATTATTTTATGTAGACTGTGTCAGAGACTGCCATGGCCGTATTATACTTTAAAGTCATAGCAGATTCTGTCCCCCAAACCAGCGACACAGTCCATAGTACGTAAGCACTGACGATTGCCAACAAACCTCATCATCATCATTATCATCACCACAGTCTCAACATCATCATCATACTTGTCCATTCAAAACAACGTTTCTCTTTTTTGAATTTAACTAATGCGGACTCTCTGCCCAGTTTTCTTATTCTTTCTGTTATGGTCCCAGGGTACCTGTCCAGTGCGCCTAATCGTTAAGATATCACTGACGTTAGGTTATAGTAACATGAAATCTCTAGTCAGTTATAAAAACATGACTTGATAACAAGTGTTTAAGGGTAAGCCGGTCGACTTACTGCAGCAAACTGCATCCCTTATATCCTGATCTCACCCGCAGAGCAGCTGGTCACCTGTATAAAGCACAAATTTTGTAGTTCTTGCAATGACCCCTAGACATCTCCAAAACATTTGCATTCGCATAGTCTGACATTGAAACCAGAATCTTCATAGAACGTGACAAAAGGGTTTACCACCTCGGCAACCCCTTTTTGCTCTCCCCAAACATGTAGTAGTAATTTTGAAAAAATTATCCTGTTCAACCCTCAGGGTTATAATTGGATATATAGTGTTTAATTGAGTTCTCAGAGTGTATATATATATATATATATATATATATATATATATATATATATATATATATATATATATATATATATATACATATATATTTTAAATATCTATATCATTGACCATCAGACAAGCATGATAGTCACTGCACTACTTCGGATCCTAGCTGTTTTGATTATAAATGAATGTGGGAATAGGGGCTATTGTTTTATATATTTATGTTGTCTAGTGTTTCCTTCCATCTCTCTACCACACCCCTCCCTCGCCCCATTTTTTCTTGCATGCAGCACACCTGTCAAGAAATAAATTGACTAGTTACAAACTAAAAAAAGAAAGCTCTTTTTTTAATCTAGGTCCGTCCGTCCTAAAAACTAAAAACTCAACCACGTTCAACCTGCTGCCAGGCAGTCGAAGCTGCTGACAGTCTCTGGTTATATTTGTGGTCTGGTTTATTTGTGCCACTTTTGTGGCTGAAGTTCTGGTATTTGTGCCCTCTCTGGGCTTAGTCCGTCTTCCCTTCAAGTCAGACCGCATATTCCTTATCCTATAATCAACTGTGTTCTTCCTGCCCTTCCATTTCTGGTGTTGTCCTCTTGGTTTATGCTCCTTCTGATCTGGCCAGGCGTATTCCGTAGGAGAGTGAGCTTCTCAACATAACAACCTTTGAACGACCATTTATAGTTTTAAAATTTTGAGTATTTTACTTTGCCAAAAAAGTGCTTAAAACAGTTTTTGATTTTGGATAGATCCGAAATGTGAAAATATTCTGCGTGTGACCATAGAGGTCTTATAGTTGTCTTCCTGCAATAAGAACGGGTTAATCATGTCATGGAGATGTGTGTCAAATGTTAGGTGAAGTCTCACAATGATTCTATCCATCACTTGTCGCAGTGTGGTCCATTGCATCACGTCACCAGTCCTTACCATCACACCATTGAGGAAAGGGTGGGGGAATTGGTGGTTAGGCTCTCCGGTCCTGTCCATATCGATCCAGTGATCTTCCCTATTTGCTGTCAGAAATGTCCTGTTTTGAGTCCCACAAGTCATGTTTATGTTGGATGCATGATGTGGAATAAGATGATAATATGTATGAGTCCCCGGAGTATATGGCTGCACACAATCAAGTCTGTACATACATACACCCAAACATCCATACACTTACACAACGTTACATGTTTACACTCCCTTTCACACATATCCATGCATGCAAAACATTAGGGATACATACCTCATTGACATTTCCTACACTTGCATTATCTTTCATACCTGCCTACCAATGTCCTTATTTACCCACTTACATTCATGTAAACATGTTCATCCACCCGTAAGGACATACACACTTCAACACTCATTCACATGTCTGCATCTATGACCGTGTTTCACACTTACTAAAGAGGTGCTCACACAGATTGTGCCACTTTTGTGACGAGTTTAGATTGTGTCTTAGGATTCTTCTTCTTGTTGTTTCATTGGTTGATAAAGACTTAGGTAGAAATGATTGGTTGTATATGTATGTCTTCCTGCATCCTCGTCTTTTTTGTTTGAGTTTATTATTCTTCAGAATAATTCTCAACCCTTGCTGCATACATCACTTGCCTCCATGCATCTCTGTAACTTCCTGTATATTACCTCTTCACTATCTTCTTGATTCACTTCCATCCAATTCTTCTGAGCATGCAGTTGTTGTTGATTTCATTATAAATTACTTTAAAAAAAATTAGACCATGTTGAACCCTGCTGAGAATAGCTTTGGTTATAATTGTGTTCTGGTTTTATTTGCACCAAGTTCAGTGGTTTATTGTGCAGTTGTGGCTTATTGTCACTAACTGTGTGTAATGTTGTCATTTCTGAATATGTCTGGGTCGTCTCTGTTGGTTCTGTGGTCGTTATGGTGGTTCCATTTTACTTGTCATTGTCCAGTCTGTACTTCCTGTGTTTCAAGTATGACTGTATATGCAGTTGTTTTCTCTTTTTATCTTCTATTCTCTCTGTGTGACCCAACCATGCAGTCTATTAGATCTCATGATGATTACTGGTTATAGTTTGTGTTTGGTCTATTCATTTCTTGTGTATGTTAGTTACATTTTGCTACATGTTATCACAGATTTCATGCTAGTATCCCTGTTTTTTGTTTGTTACAGACTTACTGGCACATTATCAGTTGCCAATGGATAGCCTAGACAAGGATTTGATCCACAATCCTTCAGGACTGGATGCTAGAGTGTATGGAAATCCTCAGATGGTGCGCGGCATTCATGAGATGGCACTGAGGCTCGATGGAAGGTCACAGTGGATCCGCGTGAGTGGTCCTGGACATAAGAAGGAATGCTTTGGTGACCTGGATCACTGCCCCAAAGGTAACATCTTTGTCTTTGGCTCCATTTACATGTTCTTTCTATTTTTCTGATGTCTGGATACATCGTCTGCTTTCTTTCTGTCCACTGGTCCGTCTGTCTGCCTATTTCTCCACTCCGTCAGTCTGTCTGTTTCTACCTTACTTCCTTCCTGTCTGCTGTCTGTCTTTTTCTGTCTGTCATTCTTGTGTCAGTCACCTGCCTGCCTTTCTTGTCCACTAGTGAATACCTTTAACTTTTTAAAATGTCTATCAGCAAATGTCGAGCAAATCCGTCTTTCTATATCCTCTTCATGTTGCTACTGACACATAAGACATTCACAAAAGATCTCTGTTACTCTGAGTGTGCTGATTTTCTGCCCATGGTATCCCATTTCAGTCTATACCAGTGGCGACGCATGCATGTAATGGCTGTAATTGCCACTTACTTTCCATTGCCAAAGAAAATTTATATTTTTACTATTCATTATTACTGTTTAATATTCATTACTACTGTTTACTTTTTATTATTACCTTTTACTATTCATTATTACTGTTTACTATTTATTATTACTGTTTACTATTTATCCTTACTGTTTACTATTTATTAAAAATATGCCACTCAATTTACACCTCAAACATAATAAAAAGAATGTTCACTGCATGCTTACCTCATTCTTGCAGAAACTATAGCTTGTGAAAGCTACCAATTACTACTACTACAATACTAGCTGCTCACACCATACTCTAAACTGTGAAGCAGTGAGGAGGAATACATCACATGATACCTTTCTCTCCAGTGTAACTGTTACCTGTCAATGTTTACATATGCAAATTGCTCATGCCTCACCAACTGGATTACACTCCTTAATTACCATTCTATTGTCCTTTATGTTTTCTCAGGTCGTTCACATCTCCTTTTCCCACCTTCCATCCACTGGATAGATGCCCTTGCCAGAGTGTCCTGAGATATTCTGCAAACATGTCCTATTCATCACCATCTTCTTCTTTTACTAACATTTTCCAATGATAAATATTTTGTTTTGCTCCTGAGTTCTTCTGAGTACAACTTAATAATACCTTTCACTTTTTAAATATTGTCCACTAATAAATACCACAAATACCTTTTAATCTTTTGTATCTGGTACACTAGTAAATATCTGTAATTTTTCTTCTATATTTATTCTTAACAGGTTATTTCATTGGTTTATGGATTCAGTTCCAAGAGGCCCCTGAACGCAAAGCAGTATACATGTCCAATGGTGGTCACTTGAGTAGTGGACATGGCATCGCCATGAGCTATTCACGCAGCGGATTAGAATTTATTTTTAAGACTAAAGATGGGAAAGAGTGGAGGGTAGAAGAAAGAGGTGTCCTGCCTGGCAAGTGGTACCATATTGCAGCATCATGGGCTGCAGATAAAGGTAATAGCTTTATTTACTTACTTACTTAGACAATCCATTTGTACCCTGGGGCTGTGGAAGTTTGCCAGAAGGGTCATCAGACTTCTCTTTCAGCAGTTTTCTTTTTTTGGCTGTGTTCCATTCCAGTCCTCTCTCAGTCAGAGACTGTTTTATGTTGTCTTCCCAGCAAGCCCTGGGTCATCTTGGAAGTCTGGTTTTCTGGTTCTTGGCATCTTATGGCTGCTGTGGTGGCCAGTTATCTGTTAGTCTGCACACATGTCCAGATCATGATAACTGTGACTGATCCACTCAGGTTTGTAAGGGCAGGGTTGCGAACTTCAAATCTTCTTGTCACTTGGTCAACCTTTTTCATTTACCTCATTTCTGAGGCTTGAAATAGCTTTATTCCATGATTTTATCTTGGAAGATTTGCAGCTTTGGTGAGAAAGAAAAGAATGAACTGAAACAGTGATTTGTCACAGAATTATGGCCTCATCATAAGGAAACTATTGTGGTGATTCATACTTCACCCCCTAAACCGGTCGCTAGATAACTGCTAGTAGTTTACACCCCCCCCTCTCCAGTCCCCCACCCCTAATTCTATTTTTAGTAAACATAATCAATCCTGGTCCTCCTAAATATTTGCGCAGGTGCAAACTACCTCATTGCTGTTAGCATTGCTTCTTGTGAACAAGCCACTGTAGTAAGTCAGTAAAGTAACATTTATGGGGGATTGGATCAGACAAGAAGGATTGGTTTTGTGGCTTCTTGGTGTACAGGGTTAAGAGTTGAAATATTTAACTTAGGATTCCTATTTCCTTCATGTGAACAAAACAAAGGAGATCAGAGTTCTAATTAATAACGTTATGGTGATGAATTAGTAAACTTGTGAAAAAATCCGGAACTTGATCCTTTCTGTTCTGTTTAGTTATAAATCATTTACCACCAAGTAGCCCATACATGTAGACACAAGAAGGGAATCATCCAATTAGTTAAATCAGTCAATCAATCAATTAATCACCCAGTCATATAACACTTACAGCTACTTTTAACACAGCAAAGAGTCCAGTCCTCTTTGTTAAAGGTTTCATGTTATAGATCTGTGACTACTGAGGAATCCATCGTTTTGAATTTTAAAAAATTAATCCAGAAATCAATCAGTAAATTAATCAGTTTAAAACATAACCCTTAGTTACCATCATTCCAGCTACAGGCAATTAGGCACCAGACTGCTTTGCTTTGGTTGTGACAATGGCATGAAGCCCCAACTGCTTAGAAAATAGCAAACTACAGAATGTGAAATTGCCTAATAAAACCAGACAGCCAGAAAATCCTGCGGCAGGTAATGCAGTGTCCTGTAAAGAATACACAACTAACCATTCACTGTTAACTCGGCTAAGAATGTAATCCCATCTCTTTAAGGTTTGATGTTATACATCAATGGCCACCAAGTTGCCCATCAGCAGACGCCTCGCCGGACATCAGAGTCCAGAGATGGTGGCCCACATAAAGATTTTATCATTGGCCGCTCCAATGATCAGACAGGCACAACCCAGCAGAGCCCAATCATGGTTGATGATTTCTCTTTCATGTCTGAGTTCAAATCAGAGGAGGAAGTGAGAGAGGAAGGTAAGTGAGAACGCTGGCACATAGTTTATGTAATTGTTACTTTTCATTTGTAAACAGTGTTTTCACATGTGTTAATTTCAATAATGTGGACACAAACATAATATGTTTGTTTGTGCTTCATTATATGTTGATTTAGTCATGGGAAGTAAAGGGGGCCGGCATGATGCTGACCACATCACCCATCTTGTGCCGATTGGTCTATAAAAATATAGGTCTAGCCTTATGTGCCCTATATGCCTAAAGGCGTGGAAAAGGGTCCTTTACTTTTTTTAAATGTTGATTTAACTCTGTAGTAATGCACCTAATGAGCTCCAGCGAAAAATGCCAGGCGATAAATTGTGCAGTTTATTGTTTTCGTCTGCATTATTTAAACTTTTCACTTCAGTTGTGTAGTGATTAGTTTTATTGTCAAGGCCAGTTTGCATGTCTTTTACTTCTGAACTGTGCAGTAATCCGCGATACCCATGTTGACATGGTCAGTTCATTTGTTTTGGGCGCCAAGGGTATTGGATTAATTTAACTGAAGTGTAGCTCAGACCCTGAATGCAGTTTTTACAGAGATCCCTGGGTATCGTCACTGGAGCTATGAAGCTAATGCTTTGTGCAACACCTCAGGCTGGTGACCAGCTGTTCTGTAAAAAGAGGCTGATCCGTATGCTAGAAAAACTCAGTACAATGAAGCTGATCCTCTCAAATTTGAGTTTAACTGTGTAGTAGCCTAATTTGCTGAGAATTACTGTTTCTTCTTTACCTGAAAAATATAAATTATCTCGATTACAATGACTGTTATTTCCTACCTGTAGAATATGTAATCTATGTTAGAGTTACTTGCTCATTAGATTCTATCCGCCCCTGTGGGTTTCAGGACACCATTTTTTTGGTGGGGGGAGGGGGGAGAATAGATCCACGGCCCAATTAATTAGGGGAATCTCCTTCGAAGTCAGATTGCATCTGCCCGAGAGACAAGGAGCCAATAGTCTGCATACAAATAAGCCAGATCTGTAAAATGGATGTGCATGCATTTCTAGAACAAGACAAAGTCCAGAAGTGGACGCACAACCAGAACTTTGCAACTGGAGTTTACAGATGGTCAACACTAAAAAGAAGATGAAGATTTCATCCATGATGTCAGAAGGATTGCGCAGGATAGAATGGAATGGAGGACTGGACTGCCAGCCCTATATGACATATAACGGATCAACAGGAGGATCTTGCTGATTAGGATTACTTCTACTTCCTGCCTGTATGATAATTAACCTTGTCTTTTCCTCCACATAATTGTTTACACTTTCATTGCATTGTTTGTTTATTGGCTTATGATTTTTATTATTTTTTTTCATTGGTAAAGTTTTCTTCTTCTTCATGTTCACTGGCGGCAAACTGTAGCGAAAAGTTCTTTTTGTTTGTCCCCCTCTGGACTTTAGTCTTGTTCCAGAGCATAAGTTTTACAGATCTGATCTTTTTTGTATGGTTCCTTGCCTCCCAGGCAGATGAACTCTTACTTAGTAAAGCTGTATTTGTGATGTCTTTTCCCTCAAGCTTCCAAGTCGAAATTTTGTGTTGGATTAAGTTTATTTGTTGAGATTTTACATTTCCTCTACATGTTGAGTTAAGTTGAGAACCATTATAATCGCAGTTGGGACATTCTCATAAGTGCATTATCACCATCTTCAGCAGCTGGCATAGTGCTCTAGTTTTAGTTGTACCAGTAGCAGTCTAATTGTATGTCCATCTTACCTTGCCCCCGAGCGTTGAATGTCGGCCAGATCCTATGGTCACTCCCATGAGCATTATCCGGATTCTACCGGGTATCCCATAAGTTTCCATATATAAGAAGAATAAATACATCACCGGTGACATTCCAAGCATAACTCCAGCTGTGCTTAAATGTGCTCTTCAGCAGTTGATGTGAGTAAGGATTTAGGTGCTTTATTAATATCCTACCCCAGATGACATCACAGGACAGTCCAACATTTGAGAGGTTGGTAAGACTGGGTTTCCCAGCTTTCTAATGCTTTTAACGA